GGAAACTGCTGTCATTCCTGACCCCTTATCTGAATTCCCGGTTACTGACCCTTTGGCCTACCTTCCTGTTTTTTTAACCTAGACTCCTGCTTGGACCCGGACTGGACTTGATTACGCTTTTGGATTTCCCTTTTGTACTCCGATTTTGGACCTCCTTGCCCATTCCTGCCAGTGGGTTCCACTCACGGCTCTGCCGTACCCCGTGACACGCTGGGAGCAGCTTAACAGTACTAAGCACTGTGCTAAGTGGCTGGTGGCCGTGCTGAGGAAAACCCTCAAGTCTTGGGACTGGGACACATGGAGTGTATGTGACAACCTTGAGACTTTGTATTATATTCTGTTTTCTGAAAGACAGGCGGACCTTATGTTGTAACTGAAGAAAGCTGTTTTTCTGTTATGGAAGGATGTGAATGTGCCAAGGGACATTGCAGGGGTAGCCCCACTAAAAGGGTTAAGAAAATGTTTGCCCGGAGTTCCTTATTGTTAATATGCCTATCAACTTGTGTTAATGTGAAAAAAACATTGTTTTTATGCATAACATTATCTACAGGTTGATATTTAGACATCATGCTGTCATAGCCACACCTGAATGATCAAGTCCTTTTGTACAAGCTACACATCTTGTGGTGTTGACTTTAAGCTATCTTCCACCTAAAAAATAATAATAATAATAATACTAAATGCACACATCTTCCTACGTTGAATTTTATATTTTGCATTGGGACCAGGAAAGCATTGCAACTGTGATTAGTGTGTAGCATGAATCATGGTCTAAAAGGTATACATAGCCTTTAATAAATGGTGCAGCTAGAATAGAGGCTGTATGGGGGAGATTTGGATCAGGAGCTGGGAGAGATGACGGGGAACAGCGCCAGTGACCCCAGGTGGCCGGGAAGATTCGTCGGTGGTCCATGAAGGAACGGCAGCAGATTTGGCGCAATGTCGCAAAATGCTCTATTAGCGTTACAAATGCTATAAGGTAATGATGAGGTGGTATCTGGTCCCAGCCAGGGTGTCACGCCTGTTCCCCACAGCCTCAAGTACCTGTTTTCGAGGGTACGGAGAAAGGGGGGATATGCTACATACCTGGTGGCGCTGCCCCCTGGCTACACGGTTCTGGGTCAGGATATTCAAACTAATGGGCTCCCTATTCTCTACACATATCCCAATAAATTTCCAATATGCCCTGTTCCACATGTCCATGCCAGGATTGAGTAAGCCTCAGAGGGCTCTGGCGCACTTTATTTTCCTGGCAGCCAAACTGACGGTCGCAAGAAACTGGAAGAAACAACAAATCCCTTATGGAGAATTTAAACAGAGGTTGGATCAAATTATGCTTAATGAGCGACTATCTAGTATTTTAGAAGACAAACACTCCAGGTTTCTGAGTGTGTGGGAACCATGGCTCTCATCCCGTCACCCAGGGATAGACCCAATGAGCTACTGAGGTATATAAGGTGGGTTAGACAGCTGATGGCAATCCTTGTGAGACGTGAAGGGCGGCAGCCATGGATGTTCCGTAGGAGGATTGATGTAAGCAAATTATGGGACTCCCCCACTCCCTAGTAGCACGGGTGACCGGCTACTACCCCCCCCCCCAACACCCTTTTACCCCTTTCTCCCCATTCTCTGTTTCCTGGGGCCTTTACCCCGCCTTAGGTTTCTGGTTGATTATTGGCTCACTGCCAGGGGGCAGGGGACTAGTATCCCAGCACATGTCATAGTGTTGATTTCGTAATAGGAGCGCTTGCGAATGCAAGGTCTCCCTGTTCCTTGAGTGTGCATATATTTCATACGTAATTCTAGTATCTGTGAATTCATGATTGTAATGAAGAACCAAGGCAATGATGCACTGTGAACCGATATCTTTATAATGTTTGATATGTGAAAATTTCAAAAAAAAAATTGATACAGAATAGAGGCTGTATAGGGTCTGCTTTATATTTAGGAATACATTTTAGATGTGCCGACCACCAAAGAGAAAGGTGGGATGTTTTTATGTTTTCTGATCTGTAGGAAGCCCTTTAACAACTTTATATATCCCCTACACCCCCTACAGTACTCCTAAGCCACGAATGTCCAAAGGTGGCTAGAAGAGGGAAACCAAATAAGAAAAATTTGATCATAATTTGTGCATTTGAGGCTGAGTGCGGCTCTCTCTTACTCTCTAAAAATGATGTTAAGTGCAGCCCTAATTATTGATGAACATGGAGGCAGCCTTATTGACAGATTCTGCTTCCTGTTTTGTAGGGTTGTGCTGCGGTTGTATCTTAGTGATCCTCTTATGTCAAGGCAGGCACTGAATGAAAGCAACAGACTTTCCGCAGTCGTAAATTACATTAAACACAACCACATTGCTTATTGTAGCCAGAGACATGTGATCTTTTCCTACACTTGAGCTTGCATGAAAGAGGAAGACAGCAGCATTTTCTATTCAGGTCTTTATAACTCAAAATAATAATGTGATTTCATAATGCTGACTTACTGATTCTCGTAATGTGTATATTTAATAATTTTGCCACCTTGAAGGTATGAGTAAGGTTTTCTACACACTGGACATAATGGCATAGTTTATAGGGTTAGCTCCAGTGGCGGAACTATCTCCATAGCGACCCAGGCGGCCGCTATGGGGCCCGGGCAAAAGGGGGCCTGAGCAGGACAAGGAACGAAGGGCGTCCCCCTGATGCCGTGCGGGCCGCGTGGGTCGCTATTGCATCGGCTCCAGAACTGTTACTGGCGACTGTGAGGAGGAACGCGTCGTTGTCCTGATCACTGACAGCCTGTCAGTGATGTGTGCAGTAGCTTGTTTCTCCACACAGCCGCTGCTGTGAGTCAGCCAGCAGCTGTGGTGGAGGAGGCCTGGGCCCGGTGTTCTATCGAAGGCTCCGACTTGTCGAGTTCTCCGACTGGTGACGTCACATCCGATGACTCCCAGTCGGAGATCTAAACCAGATGGAGCTACTGCGCTTGCGCTGTGGAATCCTTGTCGAAAACTTTAACTACTGCCATTGCGCATGCGTGGCTATATGCCGCTGCTGGTGGAGGAGGAGAAAGTGGCCAGGCCTGACGGCAATGGAGGAGGCTCAGTGTTCGGGTTTGGCTTGAAGAAAAGGTGGCAACCCTAGGCGGGGGCCCACAGGCGACCAAGGAGGAGGCGGGGCCCGGCGGAAGAGATGGCTGACAGCGGATTGGGGCTGACAGGTAAGAGGTGTGCAGGGGTGTGACCAGCCCACCTGAGACCCTGCAGAGCCCACCATAGAGACTCTATGGTGGGCTCTGCAGGGTCACTTTCAGGTGGGCTCTGCAAGGGGCGTAACTAGAAATCACAGGACCCCATACAACATTTTGCTATGGGGCCCTGTGATTTCTAGTTACGCCCCTGGTTAGCTCATATTTATCGATTAGATGGCTCCCACCTATTAGATATACTATCTGTTCAAAGTGAACTGATATTCCATTGTTTGGTAGATGCCAGAAAATTAAACCACTAGAGCGTTTCTTCTATCTGTTGGGAACTATATTAATGATCTCTGGCCTGGGTTCCTTAGGGCCGTTACTGTCCCTGCCAAGACCCCTGCCCTAGACATAAATGATTGGGCCAAGGGGTGTCAGTGACAGTTTTGTTGAGCTTTGGGTGAACTTGGGCAAACTTGGTTAGCACCAAATCCCGGAACATCACTATTTACCTGGAGAATTTACTCACCACCTGCACTTACTCTATTATTCCTAATGAAAACAAATATTAAGAACTTTCCTCCACCTGCACTTACTCTATAATGCCTAATAAAAGAAAACATAAAAACTTTCCTCCACATGTACTTTCTCTATAGTTTCACCCGCACTCGGAACGCAGGCACATTAGTGCCTTCATTCCGGTCAAGTGCGATCTGCAAAAATAGTGCTCGCAGCATTTTTGCGGATCGCACTGGACTGGAACACAGGCACTAATGCAGGCGATCGCACTGTGGGCGAGGGGCCTGCCTGCGGAGCCTGGCTACGGTGCCATTGACTTCAATGCACCACCACGCCCCCTCCCGCCCCTGAATGCAGGTGTTGTTTCGTTGGTAGATCTCAATGAGCTCGTCATTTGAAAAGTAGATCTCCAGACGAAAAATAGTGGGCGCCCCTGCTCTATAGTGTCTAATAAACCAAACATAAAAACTTTCCCCCACCTGTACTTTCTCTGTAATGTCTAATAAACCAAACATAAGAACTTTCCTCCACCTGTACTTTCTCTATAGTGTCTAATAAACCAAACATAAGAACTTTCCTCCTCCTGTACTTTCTCTATAGTGTCTAATAAACCAAACATAAGAACTTTCCTCCTCCTGTACTTTCTCTATAGTGTCTAATAAACCAAACATAAGAACTTTCCTCCTCCTGTACTTTCTCTATAGTGTCTAATAAACCAAACATAAGAACTTTCCTCCTCCTGTACTTTCTCTATAGTGTCTAATAAACCAAACATAAGAACTTTCCTCCTCCTGTACTTTCTCTATAGTGTCTAATAAACCAAACATAAGAACTTTCCTCCTCCTGTACTTTCTCTATAGTGTCTAATAAACCAAACATAAGAACTTTCCTCCTCCTGTACTTTCTCTATAGTGTCTAATAAACCAAACATAAGAACTTTCCTCCTCCTGTACTTTCTCTATAGTGTCTAATAAACCAAACATAAGAACTTTCCTCCTCCTGTACTTTCTCTATAGTGTCTAATAAACCAAACATAAGAACTTTGCGCCACCTGCACTTTCTCTATAATCCCTGATAAAACAAGTATGGAAACTTTCCTATCATACAAGAGTTGTAATCACAGATAATGACCCGCGCCTTTCAACAAAAAAAACCATTGTGTTTTTGGTCTTGTTTATTATTTTTGGGACTAAATCTTCCATCACAAAAACAAGGAACAAAAACAAGCAACTGTCAGCTCAGTGCAGCTGGGTGAGTTCCGCCCCCTTCGTTCCTACCATCAGACCAGCATGAGAAATTGGCATTTGTCTGCCAAGGACAGCCTTGACTGCTTCTATTACTGGCCAAGGTGAAGAGAAACCCGATAATCAGGTGAGTGGTTGCGATGCACCCTCCTATTCATGCTGCAATCTTAACCCCTGCTTTGCTGGAAGAAAGTGACAGCCAAAGAATGAAATGATGTATATATTTGAAAGAAAATGTCAAAGTGTTTTCCTAAACAGGTTTTCAAAAAAGTGGACGTAGGTTGATAACGTTTAGTTGTGGCAAAGTGTTACGAAGAAGTATATGTTTTTGTGGAGTAATCAGCAGTGGAAAAACATTCCTTACGGCTATTTCTATATGCTGAGTTCTTTAGCAAAATATTTTAAGTATTCCTATGGTATAACCCTAAATCCAAAAATCCAAGTATTGCAAATAAATTGTGAGCTGCAAATGTGGCAAATAATTCTTCATAATTGTTTTGCCCGCAGAAGATGTATCAGTTGCATTTGCCCATGTATGCATTGTGCATTGATGAGCCTGCAAATGACCAAACCATTTTCTCACAGCCATCACTACACACACCACTGAAGTGGTGGCACATTTGAACTAAAACCACTAACTATATGAAAGTCCATGTAGCAGGTTTTGTAGGGGTATTAATACTGTAATACCCCTGCAAAATCTGCAGGGGCAGATTTTGCAGGGGTATTACAGTTTACATGCATACTTTGGCCACGGCAAGCACAAGTATGTGGTTTTATACACCACTGCTGGCAAATGCATGTTATCATGATAAATACCATACTTGCCCTGCTTTATTTGCTCTGTGAAAACTGCATTTCATTTTTTGGAGCAGCTTCTTTGTTTGACACACCGTGGTGCTTGTCACATTGCCATTTGTGCATATTGTAAATGTGTATGCATGCAACACTTTCTTGTTTTTTAGTTGTGGATGGAAAGGAAAAAGTTAAGTTGGCCATACTTGGATTATATTTTGGCCATTTCCTGCTTTATCAGCCAAAATTTGGTCCATGGGTGGCCAAGCTGGCCCCACGTCTGACTGAATAATCGGCTTTTGTTGAAGGAGCTGGGTGGAAATTAGGCAGTCAATCAGCTGCAGTCACTGTTCAGGTAATCTGGCAGCCTTGAATGTCAGCTCTCAGAATACAATATCCCAGTAGATGTAGGGATAGAAGTACCACACCAATTAAAAAAGTTCAGATACACCTTTATTCCATAAGGGTCAGGGGACATTCATATAGAGTAGCCAACACATTTCGGGATCCAAAACACACCCACTTCATCAGGACTTAATGAGAGAAATCATGTATATTGACTGCAGTTTGAAAGTTGCATTCATTTATGATAGGAGGACCTCAGCCTTCTCAGCAGCTATTGACTTGCCTTAAAAAGAAGTCCTTAGTTGCTTTGAAACGTGGATTTCTGTGGGTGATGGATAAATGTCCTGTTTGCATTTTTATATATGGTGTGCTGATGATATTGCGTTCTCCGGACTCCCCTTCTCGCTAAAGCTGCCCATATACCTGACGATTATCGTACGATAATCGTGGGTGATACCGCGATCGTACGATAATCGTAAGGTTGATGGGCAGCGTGTGACCGCATTTACTGTACGGTCGCACGATTTTCGTATAACGAGCATGCTATAAAACCTGCCAAAAATCATACGATGTTCGGCGGGTTGGTAGCGCAATCGCAAGACAAAAGCCGCACGACCCGAGGTGCGTAAGCGCACACTATTGGAATAATCTGCAAGCCCTCCCCTCAGAGGGGAGGACTTGCGATGATGGCAAGTACGATCTGCCTGTCCATGATGGGCAGGTCGTACAAAATTTGAATCACCTTACAACCATCGCACAACGAAAGTCGTGCGATGGTTGTAAAGTGTATGGCCACCTTTACGCTCAAACTGGCCATACACAATTACCATTTTCCTTTGAGTGGGAAACGAACATATGATTCAATGTGGGTGTCTGAGATTAGCAATCTACCACCCACGCGTTCAATTGACCACCTGGATTTGATTGCTTACACTGGCCTATAAATGGACAGTTTTGATGCAGGTTATGCAAAAATCAACCAAAAAACAGGAAAAAATGACTGCAACTTTGTTGAAAGCGATCTAATTTTTAGGCTTGTTGTGGCCATTGGAATCCCATCTCCTTAAGGTAGATCAAAACCACTAATTTCCATGCTCTGTGTCCATCTCAGTTGCTAGTGGTTGAAATTGCTGGAAAGTTGTTATCTATATATAGTGAGTGTGAGATCGGCAGCGGGTGTGTGTGACTCCCTGGATGGGTTCACGCCACAGAAATTAGGCACGCAAACAAGGATTGCTTCGGGGTGAAACACATGTCCAGTTTATTCATAATTAGCTACAAGAAAAGTTGAGCAAAACATAAAAATAAAGCCTGGCCTGTTGACCACTTACTATACACATGGTATCCCTCACTACCCACAAGGTGCAACCTTGTGCTGCCCCTAGCACCTATCTCCCCATTCCATCAACTGCCACACAGGCTGTGTCTCACCGCACGAGATTTGTTTTCCCTTTTCCAGCACACAGGTCAGCAGGACACTCCCCAGTCTACTCAGGCATGAAACTGGTTCCAGGGTGGAGCAATTCTCTGAGCAGTCTGGGAGTTCTTATAGAGGCCCTAATGAGCCATCTTCCTTCAGCTGGGCTCATTACCTCTACCATTCCAGCACTCTCTCTAGTGGAAAGAAATCTGCATACAACCTGAACTAATATTGAAAATATGCAATTAGCATTGTTAGAAGGAAGAAGCCAATGGCAGCCTTCATATAGGTGCCCATAGATGAATAGATATCTTCCCCGAGAATAATGGACAGGAGGTATCTGCCAGTCCTCAAGTCACTAGCTCAACCAAGACTTTCTCCCCACTATGGCTTTTTCACCACCTTGACTGTTCCGTGTTAGTGACCTAGCAGGTATTGAAGCCAAGCAATTAGCATTGTTAGGAGGAAGCAGCCAGTGGCAGCCTCCATATTTTAATTTTTTCTTCCATATTTTATAAAGGGGTCTAAACCTAAGAACATAAATGAAATATATGTTTCAAATTATGGAAATTATAGAACATAAATGAAATGTAATACAGCTTACCAGACCTTTGATGTGGAGGCTGCATTAGTTTTCTTTTTCCCCCTTTACCTGGTGATCCTGCCAGTAGCATACTTTCTGTCCTAAAATGACAACACTCCCTGCCCTGTATCTATGGAGAAGTAGTTGTCACACTGGGACGGGAATGTGTTAGGACTACAGAACACCTCTCCCTCTTCCCCATAGCAGAGGGAGTAGTGTTTTGTAGTCCTAACACACTTCACGATAAGATAAAACTACAGAGTAGCACTTTTTTTTTGGAAGGGTTAATGGTTATGTTTTGCACTTATCAAACGGATATAACAAAACACTTCTAACTATGTGCTTAACAGACCAAACAGAAGAAGAAAAAAAAAGAAGTGCATTGTTAGGGTTTACATACACTTTTATTACTGCGTTTCTGCAAAGGGGTCTGTTTATCAATGTTTTTTTACCCAATATTTAAACAACTTTCATGCAAGATTCACACATTTTTATACTTTGAAATGTGGAGATGGGTGACTCTTGAATGAAAATATTTATAAATACACCCCATAGTGTATTCTTTCAGCTATGGTAAAGTCCTGATTGTAATTGTATTAACTGATGGTTCTCCACAGGAAACCAGAATAATTCAGACCAGACCCAGCTGTCGTTTCAAAGACATCCTCAAGCCATGCCGTTCCCATCTGTCACTTGTTTCCTGCTGATCATGTCATTTTCGAGTAAGTCAACTAATACTAAATACATAGTACACGTCCATTTTATGAGGCTTGAAAAATCTTTGTTTTAAAGTGGAGAACTACCTAAGTCACTCTTTGTTTTGGGTGGAGTTCAGGCTTGACCCCTGCTGGTTCTTTATTAATGAATTGTCCCTGAACCCTCAACATGGCTCTAAAACTGCTGCAAACAAGAATTTCCTGGCCCCTCTCTGTGAACCCCATTCTTTAAAGAGGTGTGATCATTAAAAAAAATATATATATTTCCACAAGATTATATGTGCATTATATATATATAAAATCAATTATGAATAATTCAGAAATGTGTGTATATATACAGCATCATGTAGGGTGATTTGGGTGGGGATTTTTAGCGGTTTTTAGCAAGTGTGTGCTGGTCATTATTTATGGATTTTGAGGAATGATTTTGTAATAAAGATTTGTTTATATATATTTATTAGTATGGTATTTATGATTCCCGGTATGCACATTTCCCTGAGGGAATCTTTATGTGACTGAATAAAAAAAATTCTACTTCGATATAATATGAAATGTGATTTGATCTACCTGGATGTGTTACTCTACAAGCCAAACCAATCTTTAGGTAACTTCAGCTTCAATGTAACATTGGGTACTTTATTGTTTGGTGTTTTGGGCTTTATTAGCATACATCATAAAGTACATTTACATATTTTTGCATTAAAGGATCCTTCCAGTTGACAGTCTACCAATATGAACATGTTTCAGTGGCTGAAGGAAATTCAGTCACTCTGGGCTGCTTTGTGGAAGACGAGAAGATTCAGCATTTAAGCGTTCAGTGGTTTAAACAAATGGCCGGAAGTCCACCCACTTATATCCTCCGCCACGCCAATGACAGCGGCATTCACTGGGCTGACACATCATTGGAGCGCTACCAGCCAATTAGAAATGACAGCAACGCTCACTTTCTGCACATCACTACTGTGGTCACAAATGATAGCGCTCTTTACTGGTGCTTGCTGACTAAGAGTCCATTTTATCACATCTGGGGAGGCGGAACACATCTCAGCGTTTATGGGGGTAAGTGGAAATAAATTGATTCAACTGACTAGGTTATTTAGAAGGCCATTCCACCAAAAACTGATATTTCAGCAGCTGTTCTGCATCGGTTTACTGAATTTTCTGCAGGTATATTATGTCATTGGAAGAACCCAGCAATAGGAACTTGGCTCCCTATCCACCGGCCTTACTGATTGTCTCTTTCTGTCACAACTGAATTACCCCCAGTTATTTGTTCTATGTTAACCAAATCTCAATTTAAAAATAATATGTCATTTTTATCATTTAAAAAGAACTGTGTCGTATTTGTTTCTTACATTTTGTATATTATGTTCAAGACATATTACCATCCAATGGAGGGTACGGTTAACTAATGGCAAATGCGCAGACAGTGTTCCTCCTTAGTGGTGCTATCCACCACAAAGGAGGTACGCCATCTGCGCATTCGCCATTAGTTAACAGTACCCTCCATTGGATGGTCGTGGGTGGGTTCCTGCTTCTCCTTTGGTCCTGCACGGTGGTGGATATTGGGCCTGGGTGTCCTTCATTGCCCATGGCATGGTTTTCTTTTCTGGCTTTAAGTCCCTCTCCTGAGGAAGCTGACAATAGCGAAACACGTTGAGAGCGATTATCATCAGCCAACATTGTATCACCTTCTCTTTAATGTGTTTAATTTATTACCTATACAATACATACCACATACCGTGGACTACGAACATTGTACAGTCAACAGTTATTTTGTTTTCTTCGGGGTTCTTTTTTCAAAAAGTGAAGGGTTTGAGGTAAGAGATCCGTCTAGAAGATGATGTCTTTTCGTCTGATCACCATCTGTCGACGCATTTCGCCCCTCCCATATTACGGGGCTTCGTCAGGACATGGGTTATGGGCTGGGAGGTTTGCTCTTAAGTATTCAAGTGTGCATCCCATTTGCTTTCCGGTTCATTGGTTTTAGTTCCGGATTGCAGTTAACCCTTTCTAAGTTTAAATTATGGTCAGCTATATCACAATGCTGACTCACACAATGCTGACCCACTTGGGACATTATCCTATGCAAGGAAGCCAGGTGGGTGGTCACATGACCATCTTCCAGGCTCCCTGTTTCATCACTGCACCCCTGCTGGAAGAGGTAAGGGACAATTGAAGATGGGAATCCAGGAGGCCTCAGGTCTGTATATGTCTGTATGTCTTGTGTGTATGTGTATATGTATATGTGTGTGTTTATATATACATACAGAATATTGTACAGGACGCCAGAAAATGGTTCCTAAAAGAGATCTGTATTTCCCTTTGCTTGGGTTGTGGTCCCTTTAAGGGACAAAAATGGATTAACACCTGCTGCAGGAATTGTGCTCAAAAGTATAGGAAGCTAGAGATGGCAGGGGAGAGAGGAGCACTGAGTCCTGTGTGCAGATTAGTCTGTGAAGCTGATTAAGGTGCTGGTTCTGTAAAACAGCTGAACTTTACTAGGAGCCTGGAAGGGCTGGGAGAGACTCTTAGGGCCCGTTCACACCAGTTGCAGTGCGTTCCGAGCTTCCTGTGACACCCCACAATGCACTACTTTAAAAGCTGGGCTGTATATGCCATATCCAATACCACCCCACTTTAATATGCAGCAATGCATATTCTATGTTCCCCACCTGAGTACTCTGCATGCTGCAATGTTAGTCTTAAATTCAATACTGACCTACGCTGTATTTTCATATCTCTATAACACCCCACAATGTACTACGTTAAGCTATCTGCTGTACATTCTATACCTGGCAGTACCCCAGTGAATATGCTGTATTGTGCATTCTGTACTCCATGCTGCTCCATTGCATACACTATATTCATAATTATTATTCAGCTAGTTGATCATTTCAAGTGATGATCTCAATGCAGCTACACATTATTTACCACTAGATGGCACTAAATGTTTTTTTCAGAGGTATCCTTTAAAAATCCTGATATCTTGCTTGAAAGTGTTTCTACTGTTCACACAACTTTCACCCAGGATCTACACATTTTCCCATTGAATCTAATTAGAAAACGTGTGAATCTCCTGTGAAACCATTGTATAAATAGACCACTTAGTATTCAAATAGCAAAAAAGCAAGTTCACTTTCTATTTGTTTAGTGTTTTAGTAAGTACATTCAGACATGTAACAAATATAGATATATATAATATAATATTCTTTGAGTCTCCTTCCTCCTTGCTAATTCACAATGTGAGGCTGGGTTCACACCTAAGCGAGTGAGCTGGTGAGCTGTTTTTGCGCGTTTTCGTTTTGCGCTATTGTGCTTTGAAAGCTGCATGGTTTTCAATGCATAGAGATATCTATGGGAGTCAAACCGCGCGACAACTGCCCTGAAATAGCTCCTGCACGACAGGCAATTTCGTCCGCACGACAAAACGCCCAGGTATGAACAGCCTCCATTGACTTCAATGCAGATCTGTGTTTTGCTCCTAGGTGTGCACCAGCCCTGAGAGGTTGTAGCAGGACTGATCTGTGTCAGACATTTGTGAACAAAGCCAAGAAATGCAAATATACTGGGATTTACATGATTGTGTCATCTATGTAGCCAATATCTCAGTTCCAGGAAGTAGAAGCAAACAAATGCACTTGGAAGATTCACCTGCAATGAATGTTTGGTGAATGTTGCATTCAATGCTTTATAAATATGCCCCTGTTTGAAATAGCTCAATAGTTTGCCACAGGTGTAAGCCTTAACAGGTCTTGCTTCCTGTTACATGCAAAAGCACTTTATTAAAAATGTTCTTTCCAAACTGTGCCCCCAAGTGCAAAATGCAGATACAATTAAATAGTAACACATAGGGTCTATAAAGTTATAAATCTTCTGCCCAGCGTATAGCTGGACAAATGCAGTTGGCATGGCATTACTGACACTAGATGGAGCCGAGGAGGATAGAAATTTTCTATGCTCCTTGGCTCAGTATGGTGGCAGTAATTGTGAATGGCACCCACCCAGTGTTTATAAAAAAAAGCCCCTTAAATTGCAAATGCAATGCTTAACTTTGGCCTTTGTCTGAAGCAACTGAGTAAAATGAATCACATAAGAAAAAGTGTTAAAAGTGTTATAAAAAAATATTCGTAGTTCAGCTAGTTTGCGCCTACATTTTTATTTGAAGGGTTCAGATCTGTCCTTGCAGGTTTTTGTGTTGATGTTGCTGCAGTGCAGTGTTAATGTGTTGGCTATAGATAGTAGCTGGAAAGTAGTTTTAACAAACAAGCACCCCTGGTCCCCGCCCCTTAAACAGATAACATCCCAGCAAGCTAAACTTGCAGACTGGTATCCGCAAAGCAAAAGAGTCCTAAACATATCTTTTTGATAGGCTCACAAGACAAATAGAAAGTGTTCTACCTCTTTCCTTCAATGCATTTCCTTGGAACACCAGTGCACCACCAAGGCTTCAACCAGCACTCTGTCATAAACAGTAAAAAGAAGTGTTTGCACATGGTTCTGGATCCAGATAAAATCCTCTTTTTTTCCCTACACATCTTATAGGGACTTACGAGCTGTTTGTTCTGCTATATTTAGTGTGGCAAAAAAGCAGTCTGGGTATAATGGATTGACTAATAAACTCCAAATCAGTTTGGACAGTGTTGGATCTGAATTAGTTTACATCAGTTTGCCCATCTTCGGTTTAAAATACTATGCATACCTAATTTCTGTAAAAGAAAAAAAAATGTTTGTAAAAGAGGGTGGAATAGCAAGATATTTTACAGCTGACTTCCTGTTCAGTTATCACATGCAAGGATACTGCCGGCTGTCACCGATAAGCTTCTAGTGGTCGAAAGTCTAACATAGGAGAGAATAGGCAGCACAGCGAAGTAATAGAGATGTCAAAAAATTAAACCACATGTAAACAAAAATACAAAAGTTTTATATATACATTTTTATATATATATATAAAGCTTTTTTTTATACGGCTTTTATTCCTGTTGAGGTCAGTCGCTGCGGAAATTACATTTTTCATTTGTTATTGTAATTAACCATATAGTAAACTTGGAATGTAGGTATACAATAGGTCATGTTGTATATTTTAAGATGTTGTTGTTGTTTTTTTTTCTTATTGGCTTTTACATTTTTTTCTGGTCTTCAGTAAAAGGAATAAAGGGTAAATAGCTCCCTTTTTGCTTTGTAAATGTTGTCCTGCAAGTTTTTTCTATGTTGGTGTGAGTAAATGTTGTATAAATACTTGTTGATTCTGCCAATATCTGCTCTCTCTGGGATCATTTTTAATAGAGTGACCATCAGCTTCCAATTCTGCAGAAAAATAGTCACCCTGTGTTTTTTTCCAATCCACCACAGTATTAAACTCCTTAAAAATGTTTTCAATAATAAATCCAGATCAAACAAATACACATTGCCCTGCAAAGTATTTTTTCCCCTAGCACGATCATGTTTCAGAGCAGCTGGCTCCAACTCTCTCAGCTGTGCTTCCCTGAACTTTGTGCCCAGTATAAGATAACAAAGGACAGTGCATTCACAGTTACATGTTACCAGTGCATTCACAGTTGCCACCCTTAGTTCATCTGTTTAATTACAACAAGCGGACGGCAATTGATTAATGTGCAGAGATGTACATATATATTTGTGAATGCTATTATTAGATCTTGATACTGAAGAAACTATTTTTGTTTTTACTTTTAGTATTTAATGTACATGTTGTACTTTTGCAGGCGCAGATGTCCAGGCACCTTCTGTTTCTCTCATGAGCAGTTCTCCAATAGGCTCCCATCCACTTTATCTTGCATGTTCAGTAAGTGGGTTTCATCCACCAGTCATTGAGGTTACATGGAAGTTAGATGGTGAGTCTGCTCCAGGAATAATTACAACAGGACCCTTCCTATCAGAAGAAGACAATTCATATGCCTTTGTTAGCATCCTTGAACTTCCAATGCATCACAGAAATAATTTCTCATCGGTTTTATGTGAGGTGCGGCATGATTCCTCAAGAACTTTGATCACAAAAGACTTCCTTGACTGTTATAAGGATTAATAGAAACTGCCACGGAAACACTCTAGGAGATGATTTTTATTCTGAAACTGATTTTGTTGCACAAAGAGTATATGAAGTACTAATCTCAAGGATTAAACAGTTATAGATTTTTAAGAAGGTTGTGAATATTGTGGGTACAGTAAAGGGCAAGTCCAGATCTCAAGTGAATGTAAAGGAGCAATCTCTGGGATTAATCTGTCACATATTTGAAGAAGGGTGTGTACATTGTCAGTACAGTAAAGGGCACAACCTAATTTCGAGGACAATAATATGATATGTGGGTGCTGTAATGGGTCTGTCCACAGGCCAAATAAACAAATGAACAGAGAACACCACGAATAAAAATATAATGTAAAAAATGCACTTGGTTTTTGTTGTTTTTTTTTTTTTACTGTGACTTGCAGCGCTTACAGGTCTATTCACTAAACGATGAAGAGTTTGGAGAAGGCAGAGAAGTGAACAATCTAGGACAACATAGCTGATTTGGAAACATTTTCTAATTTCCAGTTCAGCTTTGTTGTCCGAGGTTGTTCTCCTGCTCTTCACCCTTTAGTGAATTAACCTGTTAAAGTGCCCATGCACCTTACAACCATCGCACGACTTTCATCGTGCGATGGTTGTAAGGTAATTAAACATTTGTACGATCTGCCCATCTTGGACAGGCAAATCGTACCTGCGATCATCGCAAGCCCTCCCCGCCGAGGGGAGGGCTTCCGATGATTGCAGTGCTGAGCGGGCAGTGCGCTTGCGCACACCGGCCCGTTCTTAATTTGTCTCCCGAGAACGCCACTGACCCGCCGAAAATCGTGCGAATCTCAGCGGGTTTTCAGGCGTGCTCGGGAGACAAAGACGTGCGACCGTACAGTAGGAACACCTGCCGATTATCGTATGATCACGGGATCACCCGCGATTATCGTACGATAATCGGCAGGTGTATGAGCACCTTTTAAGGTGCCCATACACTGCACGATTTTCGTACGAGAATCGCGGGAAAACCCGCGATCGTACGAGAATCGTGCAATGTATGGAAGGCGTGCGACGCCTTGATCGCTGATCGATGATCGCAAGTACGATCTGCCTGTCCAAGATGGGCAGATCGTACGTTTTTTTAAGTACTTTACAACCCTCGCAAGACAAAAGTCTTGCGAGGGTTGTAAAGTGTATGGGCACCTTTAGTGTTGCATATTCATTAACAGCTGAGAGTAATTTCTTCTAATCAAGGACTTTGGTGGGGTAAGATGCACTCCTAAATGAAAATGCATTGTTTGTAAACCCACGCACCATCTATAGCCATAACTCCTTTGTAGCTTCTGGAAAAAACTTCTAACGTAGGGAATGGTTAAGCAAATTAACCAACAGGAACTCTGTTCATTTATTTTTTTTCCTGTTTGTTGCATTGAAGAGAATTCTTTTTTTTTTTTTTTTAAACTTTCTCTCCCAGATGCACAACATTAAGTGAAAGGAAATCTCTAAAAAGTGAGTCACATCGCTTCTTAGACAGTTGTTACCGGAACAGGTGTCACCATTGGAGGACTTTCCCCTCACCTTCTGCTCCATTGACAAACATAACATTTTGGAATTCCTATCTTCTGTCCCGCTGGCAATGGTGACCAGAACAAATAGAGAGGGTGAAAACCACCAGCCGGGACACAGACAGCACAGGGATTCTAATGCTTCCCTGCTCTATTTACACTCAAAAAGTTAGATATACATACACTTTATTTTCTTCTACAGGTCCAACATTCTTGTGGTGTTCTGTAAATGGTCTTGTTCCTCAAATAAAACAAAGAGAATGGAGATGTACAGAAATAGAACTATTCTTTAAATATTCTTTGACAACTGTTCTGTGCAGTGATACCAATGAATATTTTTTTAAAGTTTAATCTGTATATAGCTTACCATCCCTGGTTCCTCCCTTCTTCCTCATCAACATGTTATTAAAATTGTTACCTAAAACCTTTATGTATTCATTACAGTATTCATAACTTATTTTAGACTTCTCTATGCAATGCAGGCAGCTCATGGCTGGTGAGAGGGGCTGGCAGGGTGCTGTACATTTCTTACTGAAAAGGGGAAGCTGTGGTTATACCTACATGTGATGCTGAGCCTTTATGATTGAAAGAACTGACCTCCAAAGAATGAAAGGGGAGGAACAGGGACAGTCAGGCTGAGGAGAAAAGTGTTAGATGAGACCGGGTTTCCTTCAGCCAGGAAAAGAGGCAGTTTCCATTTGACTTGCTGCAGCTTCTAATGCACATTGTGAAAAGTTCAGCGTGCACTGAAATCAGAGTAATTTCAGTACGGGAGAGGAGCCTATACCTTTAGTATTACACAGTTGTTAGACTGCAGTTTAAAAATTACAAAAATAGTTCACTTCAAATTGGCCTGTTAACAAAAATCATACATCACATGAATCAAGAGTCCACATGTCTGCATTACCAATTTTAATATTATTATGGGGTATATTTACAAAGCAGTGAATCTTCCTGACACGTGTGTTTTTAAGTAATAGTGATTGATCTCCCCTAATCTCCCCTGCAGGCTATTGTATTCTGACAGCTGGCATCCACGGCTGTGACTGTCTCTCAATTCCAGATGCATTGTGAAGGCTTCATATCATTAGGAACCACAGAGAGTTAGACTTATCAGTGAGATAAAAGGGCCAGAAAGTAACAAAGCCTGCTTATGTTATCAGATAATGTGTTTCCATGTATACATATGATGACACAATACATTTGTTGTAGCACCAGGCTCCCAGCACTTGACGACTCGTGTGCATAGTGTAGTAGACATATTTTTTTTTTCTAATTGTTTGTTAAACATTTCATTTAAATTCTCCATAGCCACAAAGGATGTAAAGGCACTTTGTATTTTCAATGCCTTTGCTAACCCGGATATTGCCATGCAAATAGTAGTTGTGACATCATCACTGGGCTGGACATAGCCTGTGTGGGAGGGACCCACTTGCTTCTCCCAATGCAGACTACCTGCAAAAGACTACCGAGCGAGGGGTGGGGTGGTAGAGACGTGACCAGTCACCCTGCACCAGCACAAGAGAGACAGCAAAGAGTGACTGACTGGTCTTATTATAGGGAGTGCCTGTGCAGAGGCAAAGTGCAGGAGTTGTGTCACATTGGACTGCCTTATAGATCTAAAAGAAATACACAAGAGTCCAAGATTCTAGTAGGAAAACATATGCCTTTTGTATTATTTCTTATTTAGTCTTCTGTAAGAGCCGAGGTGTCATATGAAAAGTATTATGACACCTCTGCTCATAGACCCGAATGGCATTCGGGAGCTCAGGAATAGTGATGGGCCGAACACCCATCATTTTTTTTTTTACTCTTAAAATGTGCAATCCCCCCTCCCAAACAATACCAGACCCTTTAGGTCTGGTAGGAATGTTAGGAAGGACCACATTTTTTTTTTTTTTTAAAGCGTAGGGTTCCCCCTCAAAGTCATACCAGGCCCCTAAGGTCTGGTAGGAATTTCCAGGAGAAATCCCACCCCCAAAATGGGGGAGAAAAAACATGGTGGTCCCCACTATCCCTCACACACCAGGCCACATGCCCTCGGCACTGGGAGGGTGTCCCCGTGCCGATGGGGGGACAAGGGCCTCGTCCCCACAACCCTGACCTGGTGGTTGTGGGCAGAGGCGGCTTTAGACTTTGTGAGGACTTAGGCGAAACTCAAACGTGAGGAGCCCCACTTACACCCATAATAAAAAAAAGGTGCAAACGATAATAAAAAATTAACTGAATCAATTGCATATTTTAAGACTCGCCTTTAATCCCAACAGCCAGGAATTCACAGCTCCTAGAGCTATAATTTTATTTCTGTCTCTTATCTAATTCTATAAATAACTATACACAAAACCCTGACCTTAAGGAAATAATTCAGAAAGTGCACAGGTCAGTCGTAAGTAACGCACAGATTGCAGAGGTCAGTCGTAAGTAACGCAGAGAGTGGAGAGGTCAGTAGTAAGAAACATACAGAGTGCATCAGTCAGGAGAAGGTAACGCACAGAGTGCAGAGTTTAGTAGTAAGAAACATACAGAGTACAGAGGTCAGGAGAAGGTAACCCACAGAGTGCACCGGTCAGGAGGAAATGCACAGAGTGCAGCGGTCAGGAGGATCTGACGCACATAGTCCAGATGGAAGTAACGCACGCAGTGCATCGGTCAGAAGGAAGTAAAGTACAGAGTCCATCTCTCAGAAGGAAGTCAAGTACAGATTGCATCAGTTAGAAGGAGGTAGCACACAGAGTACAGAGGTCAGACCGAAGTAACGCACAGAGTGCAGAGTTCAGAAGGAAGTAAAGTACAGAGTGCAGAGGTCAGAAGGAAGTAAAGTACAGAGTGCAGAGGTTAGGAGGTAAGCCACAGAGTGCATCAGTCAGAAGTTAGACACAGGGTGCAGAGGTCTGTAGTAAGAAAAACGCACAGAGTGCATCGGTCAGAAAGAGGTAACGCACAGAATGCAGTGGTCAGAAAGAGGTAACGCACAGAGTGTAGCAGTCAGACAGAGGTAATGCATCAGAGTGCTGTGGTCAGGTCAGTGGCCCCCAAAAACCCCAGCATTCTTAAGATCCAGTAGTTAAAAGTGATAAGAGGCTACCTCATAGGCATACAGTACCTGCTTCTAGTATACAGTATATGGTAACAGACACATACCTTCTTCTCTGCCAGCTCCACCTTACCCCCTCTGAGTCCGTGCCATTGTTGGCTGCTGCAGGGCCGGAGACATGTGTGTCACCATGGGCAGGCTCTCTCCTCTCTCTCTCTGCCAGAGCTGCGGCTCTGTGTAGGTAGGAAGATCCGGAATGCCAGGGCCTCTGGTAGGTACCGCAGTACTCAAGGGGGTAAACCTCAGGCAGCCTGTGCAGGTAGAGGAAGCAATTATGTATGGGGGGAAGCGTCCCCAGTCTCCGGATCCGCCACTACTTCACAAAAAAAGCTGTAGAGGTGAGCAGGGGCGTACCTAGAAATCACAGGGCCCCA